TGATATGCATTAGCCTCACACATGCATTGTGGACATGCAAAAATCCCATGAGTGCTCCATCCAGCAAACATGCCACATGCTGGAAAATCATGTATTGACCATAAGTATGATGCTCTCATTGTAAAGTGTCGCTTCACTGAAGCATCATATGTATCTACCCCAGCCCACGGATTTAGCAATTCATCTACTATAGGTTGCAGCAATACACTTTGGTTCTTTCCAGGATGTTCTGGTCCAGGGATGACCATAGCAAGGAATATATACTCAGGCTTCATACAAACACCAGGTGGAAGATTATAGGGAACCCAAAAAACTGGCCAACAAGAGTAAGAAGCTGCATTCAATTTATATGGTGTGAACCCATCAGTTGCAAACCCAAGTCTTACATTCCTAGCATCTTCTACAAAATCTGGGAAATCATCATCAAATTGTTGCCATGCCTTGCCATGACATGGATGCAACATTTTTGTAGACCTTGCAACATGACTTTCTTTGTGCGAACGCATTAGTTTTGCTGTGCCCTCATGTGCATATAATCTTTGTAACCTATCAGTAATGGGCAGGTAGCGCAACACTTTACATGGAACCTTGTTTGATCCATCCTTACCGCATATGTCACACTTATCCTTATCCTTGTTATCTCATAGTATAGCATGCAATTTTTTTCACAAACATCAATTTTATGGTATGGCATACCAAGGCCCTCTAGCAATTTTTTGGAACGATAGAAATTTTGGGGGATCCTAGAATTAGGAGGAAGGAGTTCATGCACAAGGCCCACAAAATCATCATAACATGCTACTGACAGATTGTGTTGTGATTTAATGGCCAATAGACGAGCAACAGCAGAGAGATTAGAGTGCAAGGTTTGGTCATGTACTCACTCATCTGCACTAGCAACCATTCTATAGAAAGCTTGGGCAAAACCAGTTGGTGTTTCCTCAACTAATTGTGGGTGCCCACCAGCTAAGTTAACTAGCATAGCATCCATCTGATCTGTCTCACCAAATCCCTCATGTTCTACCTCTGAACCAATCACAAGGTCATGGTTTCCCCGCCTCTCTCCATATGATGTCCAAGTTTAGTAATTTTCTTTGAACCCATTTTGGCACAAATGCAACTCTATCCTAGGCCTTTTATGCTTGAAATAATTCCGACACATGGCACAAGGGCACTTAATCGTATCAGACTCAACTAATTCAGGGATTGAGTAGGCACGATCCAAAAACTCATTTGTTTTCTCAACCCATTCGTTCGTTGGCCTACCACGTTTCCAACCACTATACATCCACCCACGATCTGCCATATCTTATTTGCCAACTTATGAGAAGTTTAGAACAACTAACCAGCTGCAAATCAAATTCTGTGCATACAATTCTGGAAGCAGTTGCGAAATGGCAGCAAGAACAACCAATGAGATCAGCAGTGAGACACCTGTTACACATCGAATGAAAATATCAGTCATTGCTGAACAAGAAATGTACAACAAAAATCAGTTTTTTGAATACTAATACAGTGCAGAATCAAGAACGTGCTTTAACCCATTTTAAGAGATGGCTACAGAGAATGACAAGGTAATTAAGGAGGGAAGAACTAACCAACCATTTCAACCAAACCAGAGATATAATAAATAAAGCAAAATCTGATCACAAGTCCTATCACTACCACCATACAAAGAACGGAATCAATCAGATTAATTGACAATACAATTCTATTACCCATGCCAATAAGAAAGTAGTAGAAATGAACATAGCATAGTATACTAAAACGAAAACTATACTCCAAATTTTTTAACAATGCCAAAAAAAAATCAGCTAATTTATAATACTTTTGAGATTATGGAAGGTTCATTGCAAGAAATGCTTACCACTAAATGGTAACTCCCAGTTCTGTAGCCAGAAGCGAAATGGCAACAGCAATAGCCTCGAGTCAACTTACCTGTTACAAATTTACAACTGATGTCAGACAAAACCAAAGAAGAAATAATGTATAGCATGAATCAATAAAAATCTGAGAGGAAGAACTAACCAACTAGATCTTCACTGGACAATCACTAGCACAAATCTTAGGTCGTCAATGGATGCTTAAGAAAATATCTCTCAGGCCATGATTCACCTCTCCCACTTCTGTACTTGCACAACACAATTTGCTTCAGGCCTAAAAAGAAAAGGAAGAAATCTCGACAAGCAGTTGGGGTAACACAATTGTCATGAGTACCTGGAATCACAGAGCAAGGAGATGAACTTGGATTGTTGATGCAACCTATCTCAGATCTGTGAGGTTGAAGGCAGCCACCTATTCCACCGAACACATACAAGCAAGAACGAATTTGCTTCAGTTAAAAAAAAAAGGAAATTTCCACATACAGCATAAGAACAGAGTTGGTGGTACCTGGGTGGCAACGGAAGATTAGGATTGGTGGCTGGATGTGTAGAAAGCGATGGAGGTGGATCTGTATGCTGCTTTTGCACTTCGTGGAGAACGGCGGTGGCGCTGGGGTTTGGGGGCATCGGGGCTAGGGTATAGGGGCGGGGGCGACGAGTCCGGTGGCTGAGGGCATGGCGGCGGCCGGCCGGCCGGCGGCGCTAGGGTTTGGAGGCGCCGGGGCTAGGGTCTAGAGGAAGGGGCGACGGTTTTGGTGGCTGAGGGCGGCCGACGGCGGGCGGGCGGTGGCGGGCTGCCGGCGGCGGCGCTGGATGTGGCGTATGTCCGCAGTGGGAAGCGGCAGGCAGCGTCGCTCGGTGCGGCAGGCTGGATGGTGCGGGGAGGACGGCGGATAGGAAGCGGAGGAAAAGGATTTAGGGGAAATAGATGGAGCTGTCACGCGGGCGTCGGCACGGACTGAAGGCGCGAAGCGGAAAGTTTTCCATCCCGCGCGCTCGTTTCGCTTGTCCCTCTGTTCGGTGGGCCAACAATCCTGGTAGGGCGCGAAGGCCATCTTATTGGCTGGGACGAGCACCCGTGACAGCAGTGAACCGAAGGGAGAGAACTTCCCGGATGGTACACAGGTCACGTGGGGGATGAGTCTGCGCCTCTGACGGGAGACGCGCAGCCGAGGGGAGTGGGCTTGGCTGACAGGAGAAAACGCGTCTCCGGTAGTGCAGGGGGTGCCTGGCAACCCCAACCCCAACCCCCTCCCTCTGCGCTACTGAATGTGACCTAAGTAATAGCAAAGCGGGGTTATATCATCTCAATGAGAATGGCCGCCCCCTTTTGCTCGGAAAAAAGAAGAGTGAATATTTCTGATGACTTTAGATCGACAGAGTACAGGCCAATATACCTCCCATGACATTTCTTGGATGTGACCTAGCTAATCGCCTATATATGACACAAGGATTATATTCGCACATGATATGTCGATATAGGCATCTCCAATCCTTTCCTGCATGCATCTTTGTTTTTTATGTAGCGCTACGGCACAAACAAGATAAAGCGCGCGCGATTTGCACCTGTGTCGTCTATAAGCATGCGTATCTATTCTATGCTATAAAGGAACGAAGAAATTGAAAATATCATTCACCTAAATTTTTCTTACCCACCTTATACAGGAACCGTTGAATGAATTAAGACTTTAGATCTAACGCTCCATATCAATCCATCGGTTGGTCATCTGCCATCTTACACTTACACATCTTACGCATTCCTGCCGTACAAAACTTCTTCCACGCCCTCCCGATGCAAATTTTTTTCACCCAAAATCTACCTACCCGCCCACGCTCACCCATCTTGGGGCGCCTCAGTGGTTCCTCGAGCGAAGCGGCACCCACGCGTACCCATCTGAGGTGCCTCGGCGGTTAGGACCGCGAAGGCCAAGGGGAGACTCCCCCACGCCGCCGCACGCCTTCAGCTTTCCCAGGGCCGGGGCCAAGGACGAGGCAGCGGCGTTCTTCCAGCAGGGCGTGGTTCGCCGCCATCTTCTTCTACTGCGGCAACAAGGGTAACATCGCCTGGTTTGCCACCAACTCCGGCCTCGTCTGGGAAACCGCCCCCCGCTTCACACAGCCCCAACACTTCCGGCCCGGCATGGTGCACTGCAGCCTCGGCCCCTCCGACGTGGAACGACCCTCCTCTGGCTGATGCATGCGACCCCACCTCCCTCTGGCCCGACGCGACCTCGCCACTGCACCACCGGCCCGGCATGGCATGGTGCAGCACTGCTGCCTCCAAGCACGTCCCCTCCTCGGCGGCGCGCGGCCCTCTTCATAATCGAACCCTGCCAGGTAAGACGGCACCCAGATTCTATTTTATAATTATATACTCCTTTTTTTATTACCCCCTGTTATTGGCGTTCTTGAATAGTCGTCTGAATCGTGTCCTTTTCTGTGTTGATTTGATGGGGTTGGATTGGATTGTGGCGGTGCAGTCGGAGTTGTTGCAGAACAGTGATTACTGATGAGGTAAAATATTGAAATCTTGTGCCCTAGCTTATTCGAATGGCGTCAAGGCCTTTCTTTTCCTTCATATTAAATTTAAATTCATTGTTATGGCGGTTTGTCTCTCCGTCAAAATATTCTCATATATACTCAGAAAAGCTTGTCCACCTTCCTTACTGTTACTTCATGAATGATTGTAAACAGGTATTGAATCATACCATATTTATCAGGGAAAAGTTACATTGAAAATGCCTCATAAGATAAAATAATGTTGGAGTACCGAATTGTTATGCTGCATATGAAACAGATAAATTGAATAAGATTTGCCTTAATTCTGCTTAATATTCATAATGTCAATTCTCGATTGCTTTGATGTAGAAAAATCAAGAAGCTCCTGATCCAGTTTGCCCACACAAACGAGCTGACTATGGCCTTCCAGAGGATAGATTTATTTGCTCCCAATTCACGCCAGGCTGTTGAATAAAGGTGAGAGATAATTCAGCTTTATTTGTAGCAGTCTTGCTCAGATTCATTAGTTCATACGCTCTGGTTCTACGAGCTCTTGTCTGATAAAAGAGCAGCCTTTTCATTCATTTGTTCGTAAAAAGCACATTGGTTTAATGAGGCATGACTCTCATACAGCTTCAAAAATTTTGGGATGTTGCCATGTTAAGGTATTAGCTTTTTCGTTTTTGTTGTTTCAGTATCTGGTATTGGTTTCCTAAAGAATCAATGTCGACTATCTCTTATCAGAAGAAATGCACGTTGGAAGCCCTTCAACAATAGTACACTGCTGCAAAAGCTAAGAAATTGCAAGATTAACAGGTTAAGAGTCAAAAGAAGAGCAACTTTAATACCCCTAACTCTAAATTTGATGCACAAGGAAAGACAAAGGTCCAAAAATCACTTGTCAAACATATTCCCAGCCTTCTCCTCATAAAGGTTTTGTTTTCTTTATTATTGTTTTTTATACAACCAGCCAAGGTTTTGTTTATGAACATTTTTCATCATGCTGCTGCTTTTCAGGTGTAGCATTTTCCAGTTCTCATTGTCAACAAAAGCCTTCCGCATCCTCAGGTAACCTCCCTACCTCTCTCTTTGTGTGCACATGTATCAAGTGTATGGTTGTGTAACTATGTAACAAATACTTTGAACTTTGTAGGTCAAGAAAACAATCATGTGTATGCTGAACTTTCTTTTGCCTTTCATGACAATTTGTCCAAAGATGGTGTCTCAGTAAATATTCCTCTCATATGGGTTCTCAATATAAAATTTATTATTATATGTTATTTTACAACCTCTGATATTCGCTGTGGCGAACTTTGGTTTAGGATTTGGATGGCAGAGGTTTTTCACAGTGTTATATATGACATAATTCAGAAAGGTGGAAATGCTGGGAAAATTACAATTACGGGAGCCAAAAAGTTGAAGCTGGAAAAAGGGATCCTTTTGGATAATTATGTTCGGAGGGGTCCTAGATTAGTGGACGCCCAAGCAAGATCTTTGCTGATTTATTCAAGGCGATCAAAAAGGCACATGTCTCTGAAAAAACATAAGAAATGTGATTCATTTGATAGATGGTACATTCCACAAGTAAGTTTTGTTCTGGTTCCCATTTCTTTGATACCTCACCACAAAAAAAATGACCTTTTTTGGTTTCTTTAGTTTACACGAATGTAAATAAAACAGAGTTCCTTAATGATTGAACTACAATTTATATCCTTGCTCAAATCTCTATATAATACCCTTATTACCTTTGGAGGTCTAATCTAACGTTAAAAGAAACCTTTGGAGTCTACACAAACACCTGACGTTTTTGGTCTTACAGGTATGACCTAGCTAAATATTTTTGCATAAGAGAAGAAAGTATTTAGAATACAACCCACACAAACACACAACCAAACATATACTGAATTGGTTTTGTTTAGAATGCTATAGTGATAGGTTGATTGTATAACATGATGAATTTATTACCACAGATGAATATAAACCTAAATCTTGGAGAAAATGGAGAAGAGGAATTGACAAGGACAGAAGAAAAGAGTTTGATGGGATCCTAATTTATTTATGGTGGAACTTATGGAAAGAATGGAATCGAAGAACATTTCAACAAAAGCTACAACCCCCATTGAAGTGGCCTACCAAATCAGGGAAGATGTTCAGCTGCAGAGCATAGCGTTTAGAATTGATCAAAATGGATGAGGAAGAGGTGCAGAAACGGTGCTTTTCAACGCCTCGACGACACTCAGTTTTTTCACAAACTTCTGTTTTTAGTAAAGCTCTATTCAAGTTAGGTCGTCCAGGTAGTTCTTTTGGTGTTTGCTTTTTCTAGGTTTCCTCTATCCCCTCTTGTGTTTTCAGGTTTTAGATTCCTACTAGAGGTTCCTTTCCTCTTTGTATTTTTGTATATACCCATTTGTTATCTTTTTTCTACAAATATATTTCGACAAAGCTTTTGCCGACCCTTCCCAAAAAAATAATATGGACTTAAAACCAATGATGTCTACTGTACCAAATAGTTAAGAGGTACAATGATTTCCAGACTGTATACAGTACAGTAAAATGCGCTTTCTTATATAAACTACATCAAAACCACTCAACTTACAGGAAGGGAGCAGGGGCGAGATAAATGCATGGATGGCCGGGAGGAAGATCTTGGGCCATGAACGCTCGGGGTCAATGCTTCAGATTTTCCCTAGACCATGTAGAAGCATCGATCTTCGTTTAGATTCCAAAAAGAATACTGCAAGCCCCTTAACCATGGTGATTTTATTTCTAATTTCAAATATTCATATATATCCTGATTTCCCTTTTTAAATTGTTTTCCACTCCTATTGTATTCGGTGTGTGCCACTTTTACCTGATTTCTGCAGATTGATTCACCATGGTCTGAAGGTGGGTGAAACTAAGGAATTTATTTGAAACCTGCTTTTAACTCATGTCAGATGGAGGCAATATTTTACATCAGTTTAGGCTACCCAAACTGTTTAACATTGTTTAGCAACAAAAACAAATGAATGGTTATCTAAAATAAAGGCTATAGCATAGAAAACCTACTTGAGATTGCTTCAGTACTGGTGGAGCCCTGTTAAAATTGTGAAGGATTTGTTGAATTTGCTTGAAAAATATTGTCTCATTGTACATCAGAGACTATCTACTATACATAATCAAATGCTTCTATGTCTCACTATGGTCCAATATATGTTTTTTATGATTCAATATGATATATGATAATTGTTAAGATACTAGGATAAATGCCTAATAAAGGAACAAGTCATAAATGGTTAAGATGATTTTTTATCACATAAATGTGTCACCGCTCATATAAAAAATTCGTCATCGCAATGCATGACAAATCACCATATAGATACGTACGTGTCGCACGTGTATTTCCACTGGTGTGAAGGAAATATTCGGTGTTTCATGACACGACAAAAGCCGACGTTAGTTTCTCGCGAATCATGCCTATACGTCTATACAGTGTGGATTTTAACGAGCTAGAGCACGACCGGATCGCGGACTATTCCACTAGACCACATAGATCGCTTCTGGAACCATCTGATGCATTTCGCCGCTAGCTTGTATGTTGACACATAAAGAAAATGCATCACATTTGTATGTATGGCAGTGCTTTCTCTAGCTAGGATTAATACTCGACTTACGTACCATATGCAGCCATATGGCCACCAGCATGCCCACCTCCCACCTGAATTAGGACATAGTAGAGCATGCATGTTCTCAAATCTTAAGAGAATATATTTATGTATAATGTAGTCTAGAAAATTAAACAAGCAATACATAGCAAAAGTTATGTATCTAGAAAAGCCAAAACGTTTATAATTTGGAATGAAGTGAGTATAAAAGAAAGTGTAACGGTGGTGTGTCGGACGCACCGACGCACTAGTGAAGATTGACATGCCATTAAAAAAACCATGAGGGCACATGTTTTATGCAAGCCTTACTTTCCGACACAATAATAAATTCTTTAACAGAATGGGATATCCCATGGGTCAGTTTGGTGTGGGAGAAGCATTATAAGAATGGGAAGCTATTGCACAAATTTGAAGCTATTGCACAAATTTAAGACTTTCACCACAGTTACCATTGAAGATGGGCAGACTTGTTTCTTTTGGACTGATAACTGGATGCCTCAAACTCCAGCAGTGACAGCCCCTGAACTATATTCTTATGCCAAAAACAAGTCAATCTCTGTGCAAAAAGCAGTAAGCAGTGATATCTTCTCTGAACTTTTCCATCTCCCAGTCTCCCAAGTGGCAGTGGCACAAATGGAGAATCTGCAATCTAATCTGCTCACCATCAACTTATCAGATGGAAAAGACAAATGGAGTTACACTTGGGGTTCACACCTATTCTCATCATCCAGAGTCTACAAAGCATTGGTCGATCACCCAGCGACTCATCCTGTCTTCAAATGGATCTGGAAGTGCCCATGTCAGCCGAAACACAAAGTGTTCTTCTGGCTACTACTCAAGGATAGATTTAGCACCAGAAATATCCTCAATTGAAAATTATAACTATGTCCTTTGCAGCTCATCGACAGAAGAGAACTTGTACCATCTCTTCATTGTGATTTTGCTAAACAGTGTTGGAATTTGCTCAGAATTGATGTCCAGCAAGAAAGCACCTTCCCTGATATTGTAACAACCTTCAAAGCTAGACTGCAGTCAGAGTTATTTATGGTGGCAATCATACTGATGTGCTGGTCCATTTGGACAGCAAGGAATGACTTTATCTTCAAAGGACTACAGCCAGATGTGCAAGACTATAAACGAAACTTCTTCAAGGAACTGAAATTGGTTCTGCTCAGGGTTAAGCCAAGCGCACTCTCAAGATTTGAATCATGGCTTCAGAACATTTCAACACTTCAGTCCTAGGATTATGTTTAATTTTTTTATTTCTTTTTCAGTTCCATGAGTTTTGCTTGTAATCTTTGACTTCCGCCTTTTAATTTAAATAAATAAATTTTCTGTAGGGGCCAAGGCCCCTCCAGTTCCCTAAAAAAAACATTCAACAGGCTAATAGGGCTAAGATATCTTGAAACAAATCCAAGGTTTTTTTTCAAATAAAAAATATATATGTTGGCGGTGAATGAGGAAATAATAAAGTGATTTTTAGAGCTTTTTTAGGCCTTTTCCCTTGTGCTTCCGGCACACTGAAAACACCCCGGCCAGATTCTGATAGTGAGGGGGCCTTGGGGAGGAGTGAATGCATGCAAGCCACTAAACAGAAAGAAAGAACCCTCTAGAATGACCTCATTAGTCATTAGTACCACTTGCATTTATCCCCTACCCATTTGCAGTGTGCAAGCATGCATGACCACACAAACTAAACACGCCACACAGTGTTCCAGTAAAACTAGCAAACGACCAGAAGGTAGCTAAGCTAGTGATCTGTGCACCCATGCAGATGGTACGAGCGAGTGACCAAGTGGCCAGCTCCTGTTGCTTTGCTTGCACCTCATGAAGTTAGCCACCAAGCGACGTACGCATCCAAAAGGTTCTTGGCTCATTTGCTTATAGCAGTAACCTCATGAGAACGAAGTGGTTGGCTATAAGAAGGGCAAGGGCAAGTGGTGTTTTGCGAGCCAGGAGTCGTCCCTGAATGATCAGTTGAGGGAGGTATTCCTCGTTTTGAGATGGTGGCCAGACGCCCAAACCCTATGCCGAAATGGTTCCTACCGACAAAAAATGCGCGTCTCTTCGTTCCGTGATATGCTTGTTGGATGTGTGTCGTCCTCTGGACCACAAGCAAGCATGTCAGCTAGTTTGATCCAAAGACCTACTATATGCATATATATCACTTTCTCTAATCGCATATATTGGCTAATTTGTAAAGGAATATCGTTTATCAAACTGTTTCTTTTTTACTTTATTAATCATCAGTTTCAAAATTTATTTTCGTATAGACTGACAACAAATGATCACTGGCATTAGACATTCATCATGAAAATAATGTTCTTGTATATTTAACTCTTTATTATTAAGATAGTATATACTTTCATAGATATTACTATTTATATTGGAAACTGTGATGTGATGTCCTAGTTGACTTATTATATCTGTAATAAGAAGAGAAGTAACTTGTGAAGAAAACTAATTTTATGTTGTGCTCATGAATAGTATATATCTAATAATATTAAACTACGTTTGGTTCCATTAGCTGCTAATATATAGTTAGCTAGCTAATAGCTCATAGCTAATATTAGCTAGCTAACTATTAGCTATTATTAGCCGGTTTGGTTCAACGAGTGAATAGTCATATATATCAAACCCTTTTTTATTCGGCAGGCAGAAAAAAATGAAAGAAAAGCATAGCCTATCCCCTTTCAAAACCACTTGTCTCTTGTTTGTCTCGGCGAATCCACGGTTTAGGGAACTTGCTTAGAAATTTGGATTTGCGCCCTCGAAGCACTCTTTTTTTTTTTTGAGTCGGGTGCAAAGGAATGATAAGATAGGAAGGGATACAATTCTAGACTAACAACTACTTAATTTAATATTAATTTAATATTTAATAGTAATTTAATAAAGTAGTTAAGTAGTCATCCACTATAATAATTTACTATATGAAATAGATAATTTACTATAATATAAGTAGTTAAGTAGTCAACTAGACTGAATTTTTTTATCATAGCACCTCGTTAGTTCGATATTTAGCTAAAAAGTAGGTTGTCTATTAGCGAGATCGTTTGGATAAAAAAGAGTCGATTATTAGCAGCTAACTTTTTTTTTAGAAAACTGGACGATTTCTTAGCCCCTATTAGAGAATAAATTAATCCCAGCAAAAGAGATGCAAAAGAGAATGGAGAGGGAAAGCAGCTAACTATTAGCTCCATAGATGCAAACAAGGTTTCAGAGCGAGTGATGGAGCTAAAAAAATAGATTTACTGGTTCTTAGTTAATTTAGAGGAAGAGAGGAAAAACCAACTCTTATTATTACTGTGACATAAATAGCGTATGAATAGTAGACTCGCGGGGAGGGAAGCTGAAGCTAGAGACAACTCTCCCTAACTGGCTCTAAAAGAAGAGAACAACATGGGGGTGTGAGACAACAAACGCACCATTGCCGCCGTACACCGTCCCAGTTGATTTTCGTTTTTTCATTTCAGACTTTGGCAAAAAGAAACTCATGAAATGAGATTAAAGCACAACGCCATGCATATATTTACAAACATATATATCGGCATGCCCCCCATCCTTTTCCCTGGTTTTATGGGCATCTTGAGGTTGACATCCCGAAATTTTTTTATTTTTAACACTTTTTTGAACTATTTTTAAAACTCACACTGTTTTTTTCTTCAAAACTAACACTTTTGGACGCAGCAACTGACATAGCGCGGCCAAACCACTCTATCACGCCAT